TGTGAAACTGTCTCTTTGTTCACTGCTTGGATCTTGACTTCTAAGCAGGCAGTGCAGGCAGTGTATGCTATAAAAGGGAAAGAAAAAGAAGATGCTGCTAATGCATTGAACTGTATTCTCTATAGGACTGTTTGGCATCAAACAGTTTGGCTACAGCTTTTAACCCCTTTTGATTCATTCAATCCCAAACTATATGTATAAAGGGTGATTGGCAGAATACACTGTTTTTGAAGCAGACTGTCAATGGCTTGTACTCAGATATAAATATCTGATGTTCCAAGTCTTGAGAGCTGAACTTCTGATGTATCAAAGTACCACCCAATTTTCTTTCATATCTGCAATTAAATTCTTCATGTAAATGTCACATTACATGATGAAAAAGAGGCTGTAAAACCCCCAGTTTTCACCTAGTAGCATATTAAGTTCAGAAGTTGAGAAAAAAAATACAGTGAAAAACGTAATTCTAAAGGATGCAATCCTTTAAAGATTGATTATGCCTACAACATTATAAATGATGTTATTAGATTTGGTTTTATCTGTCTAAAACTGAGAAGCTAATAAATATATGGCAAACAACAGAGATGTGGTAGGAATCTCTTAACTATTGCACAAAATAGATTATTTTAAAATATATTAGGTATATGCATATTTTTAAAAATGGATCATTTTCACCATTCTCAATTTGCAACACAAAATTACTGTTAGTGTAAATAAATGTCATGATAGTATTGCCAAAGGTCATGGACTTTAGCAAAGGTCATTGTGTAGCTACTTAGAAACTGAACGATGTATTCAGCCTTTAGGCTGGTCTGTGTGTACCTTAGGTTCAAGCTACAAAGAAGAACCTTGCTAACAATCCTGACATCTGTATCTGTTCTGTATCATGAAAATTCTTCTGTAACTTTCTAGCCTACTCTGCAGAAAGAGATAGAAGATTTATCACTACTATTAGTGTTAATATCTTCAAAATATTGCAGACTTCTCTGAAAATTCACACTCTTACTGTGCTGGGACCAGATTGTGCTGTTATGTAGCATCCTCACAGTGGGGTCTCTCGGTTTGTGAACAAAGAAGCTACCTTAGTTAAAAAAAAGTGCTGCTGGATGTAAGCATGTCTGAGGAAACTGCAGATGGTAGCAAGGGAGTTGGTTTTGGCTTTCATCTCTGTGCCTGAACCCAAGCCAAATCTGGGGGGAATTGGAAGACCTGGGCTCTGTGGTTGGACTCCTGGAAGGGATTTTAGCCTGGGTGCCTTTTGGGTGTTGTTTCTTCCACCTGACTCCCATTTAAAGGCTACCCATGCCATCTAAATTAGTCATTAAGACTCCCTCTAACCAGTAGAGAAAGCAAGCACTAGAGAGTGGTTCACCCATCTTGTGTGAGTACAGACATGACCTCTGGAAGAGGTCTCTGCTAACCGGTAGAAGCAGCCTAGACAACTCGCTTAATTGTTACTATTCTTCAGGTGGTTGCAGTTAACAGAGGTGAATCTGGTCCCATGTTTAATGTGTAATAATCCCCAAGTGGGACAGCTGTTTTACAAAAGCAGGAAAGAGAGCAAACCACTGTGTCTGCTACCCCAAGTCATGTAGCCAGATTGTTTTTCTAGTACATCCTAGTACATCCTTGGGAAGCCACCTGGTGAAGAAGCAGCTGTGAGCTGTCTGAAGAGTGTGCCAGAGATTGTGCTTTCCAGAGATTCTGCTTCTGTAGTCCCTGTTCAGACCTTTCCATTGAAACTGATAGGAATTATGGCAAAGGACTATGAAGTCAAACTCCCTCCAAGATGTGAGTGGAGGCAGGCTCCTCCTGTACATTCCTATAAGGCCATTAGGTGATGGCTAAATGAAGGTATTGCCACTTGAGGCTTCCCAACAGGGTTCTTTGCAGAGCAGCTGATCTGCAGCATGAGGAAAAAGAAGCAGCAGCCAATCGTATCACAATGGGGAGAAATTCAAGTACAACATTTCACTGTGCACTGATACATTTTATTCAGGGCAGAATTGTGCAGTTTGCATAGCTTAAAAACATAAACCAAGTTACTAGTATTTGCAAAACACTCCACTTTTCACTCTCTCCCAACACATTTGTAATTTGAATCAAACTGCTAGAGATCAAATGAGATACATAGGCAGAATCTGAAGGCTCTCACACACATGTCACCTTCCAGCTGTTAAGAAAATCTAGGCTGTTACTGTCCTTGTTCTGGTTGCCTCAGCATAGCCCCATTCCTTCCTGGAGAAATCTGTAATGGAAGCTATTGCATTTTAGTTAGCAGACAGTATTACAGCTCCATCAGCACCTCTAAGGGAGGACCTGGAGGCACTTACGTGTGAGCTGACACATAGCCTGAACGTTTCTGTGCTACAGTATTTATCCTAATGGTTGCTTCCTTCCCCCTGTTCAAACTTCAGGTTAACGCACAGATCATGCTGCTATTCTGTTTCTCTGCATTAGCGATGACGCCTCACCTAACAGGACAAGCCCCAAACTACAGCCAATACTGATTGAATCAACTGGGTCTAGATTTAAAAGTAAGTTGAAGATTACTTCAGGCCTTTATGTTCTTCCATTTCCAGTTATCTGGAAGAGGAATAAACCACGCTATTTAGTAAGTGTTGTCAACTGAAAGGTAACCTGTTCTTGAATCTGACCCTTTAGCTCAGCTTCATGGGTGGGTTTGGCTCAAAGTACTAGTTATGCCTGGGTTGCCAAATTCAAAGGAAAAGGTGGAGTTATGCTATAAGATGTTTACTTGTGTTATGCTGGAATTTCTTTGCTCTTGCCTAAGGCTGTACTTTAGAGGCCTTCAAAGATAAAACTGCTGTTTCGATCTTGCCTAAAACATTATGTTCTTATGTTTTCCTCCTGTCAATGGGAATTAGAAATGAAATGCTGCCCCTGCCCAAATACACAGCTAAAAGTAATTCCATGTTTTGTGATGCTCAAAGCATTGCTGTCTGATAGCGTTGAGTGAAAGATAGCAAAAATGAGGAAAACACACTAGCACCCTTAGCAGAGACACTCCGTTGAGGCCCTTGTACAACCTGTGTGAGGAGAAGAGTCTAGTTGATGGATCCAGACACAAAGTGTAAATGGTGTTGGGTTGGGTTTTCTTTAATGTTTGTATTAGAGGGAAGCGTGCTCCATGGTATGGCCCATGGTCCATGTCCCCTGGCTGTACCCATGTAGAAACCTCCTAGACCACATACCCTTCTGGCCTGTACTCTGGAATTCAGTTCGCTTGGAAACTGAACACAAATTTACACTGTTACTAAAAGCAACAAGTGTAATAATTATTTTTTAAATGGTACCAATCCATATATATTCATTTTATTGTTGGAAGAGGTATTATGTAACGTATTTTTCTATTGTACATATATCTACAGCAAACCTTATTTTCCAGGTTTTGATCATCATGTGAAAAAGCAGTACAAGATGTCCACATCTCTTAAGCTGAATTCCAAACATCTCCCCTCAAAGCAAAAAATATTTTCATTCTTCTTTGTGATATATCCCACTTGTTATCAGTGATCATATTTGTGTATGCATTTTTTAACATTAAGCTAAATGCTGAAGGAATGATATCCCCAGTGTAGAGTCCAAAATAGAATAAATAATACATAATTAAAAAATCTGGCATACTTATAATTTAAAACAAAGGAGTCACGTGTCAATAAAACAGCATTTCACTCAGCTTTTATGCCATTTTAGAAGTTCTCTTTTCTTACCCTCAGTTTGGGCAATGATCAGGGGTCACTTGTGTTCTGGAAGTTGCTACCATCCTTTCAGGTGAAAGTTGAAGCATTGTCAAGAATGTCACAGGAATTTTTAAATGACACAGCAGCAAACAGTGCTAGATCCTGATGCTATCAAAGAGTGAGTGGTAATTAGGATGATTGGAGTGATGCCTGTACATGGTGTGGAATCTGTAGCACTCAAAGCAGAGACCCCACTGGGAAATGTTTTGGACAACACAACACAGAATGCTGTTCGTGTCTTCTGTCATAACCAGTTTTATGTGCCCGAAACCAATTTATTACGATTTAACAAGAGCAGATGACTGGAAGGCTCTGAGCAGGATATTCTGCTGTTCTTCCTTTCTCTAATGTTCAAACAATGTGCTTTACATTTAAAAAAAAATAAATCTGTCTCTTGGAAAAAAAAAGTCCCAAAACCAAATTAAGTTTTGTTAATGATGCCCTTACCCTTTACAGTGTGAGAGACTTAACTCATGCTGCAAGCAAGTGGAAGTAGGCACCAGTATTTTCTTCTTAGGTAGCCACTCTTTACCTTCATTTGCT